TATTTTTATTTTTCTAGCCTTGTCATGTGTTGGGGGGGAAAAAAACAATGGATGTCAGGGCTCCAGACTGCGACCAAATGGTCGCATTTTGCGACCAAAATTTGAGAGTGTGCGACTGAATTTTACATCCAGTCGCACATGTGCGACCAGTAAATTTGCCGCACGTTAAACGCATGGTAAAGCGTGGAAGGGGCGCGTCAATGAATCCGTGACAAGAATAGCGCACGTAAACGTCTGTGGGAAGGAGACGGGGACAAATATCACAACCTGATGTGCGTCTGAGCAATCAGCGATCTATCGACTCGTTAGTCGTTACCTAGCAACGAATGCAAACAAAATGAAAGTGGAACGAAAATACGCCACTCAGGACCGTGGAGCAGCAGCAGCGATCCGAACCATTGACGGTAAAGTAAAGCCCCGAACTTGCCAGTCGCGGGCCGATCTCGCTCACGCAACACTGTTAATAGGAGATCGAGTGAAGAAATCCATTGAATTCGCCTCAGAATTAATAACATCAACACCACGAGATCCAGTGAGAAACACTCAGATTCAGCGCAGAGTTCTGTTATAAACCATATCAGATCAAACAGCGCTGACGTGGAAACCAGGAGAAACACTTAGGCCGATTTGTGGACTGAAAGCCTTCTAACGTTATAACAGAACCATGGATTTAGGCTAATGTAGTAAGTTAACTCTAACCATAAATATGATAATGTGTAATCAAATGCTTACAAGTAGCCTACACATCTTTTCCCAGCACTTCAATAATATCATATATAAATGTTTTTTTTTTTTGTATTTTTTATGTGATTACCAACACATTTTTTGTTCATCCTTTAAAGATTGTCCTAAAAAGAAAAATTTTGAGATGTTGGAAAACTCTTATTTAAACACTTAAAAAATAAAATAATACCATTGTAAACAGTAGGATGTTTATTGGCTATTTTCACTCCATATACATATTTTCACTACTTTTATTAATTAATATTAAGACATTATAAATGATAATAACTAAAGTTAATTTCATCTACACCCTAAATTAAGCTTAGTGATTTATTGTCAGTCCCAGTGCTACCAGATTTTTTTTTGTTTTTTTGTAGAACTCGCTGCGAGTTCTCATTTGAGGTGATGCTGCCCTCAACTTTGAGTCTGAAACCCTGTGAACTTAAAACAAAACAGCATATCATAATGTTAAGTCTATTTATTATTAAAGAATTTGTCAGTATTACAGTTATTTGGGGGGAAATTTGAATAATTGCATTGCAAGCTGATTTAAGGTGCGCCCCCTAAATTTTCAGCTTGCGCTCCTAAAATTTTCAGTTAGGGGCAACAGCGCTCCTAGTAAAAAAAGTTAGTCTGGAGCCCTGATGTTCAGTTACAATATTTTACCCCTAATCCCCTCAGTAAGGAGAGAGTGAATTTATGGATTATGCAGACTCAACAAGGGGTGCAAGGTGGCATTTTTCAAGGCAAGGGTAAAATGTTCAATAAACCAATTAGAAAATAGCAATTAAAAAAGTAAATCTCATTTTAACCACATCAATGTATCCCATGAATTCTGATTATCTTCCCATAATTCGAATCAACAGAGTAAAAGTTGTGACAATACTTTAAAAACATTAGCATGAAGGGACAGAATGTAAATGGAGATCGGTGTCAGTTGTTTCTAACCAGAGGCTATTTGGTAAAATCTGTAAAAAATAAAATAAAAAAATGCATCAATATGTATCATCGATAGTTCCCCCAAAGTAAAAAAATACTGTGAAGAGAACGAAAAAATGTGTTAGTCCTACATTAAACTACTATATATATCAAGCTATAATGCAATGGGGGAGTATTTGTGGGTCCTGACAATGTCTCATGCTGATAATGTCAAATTTTACCACTTAAAAGTGGCCTATGTTATTTTAAATCTACTCAGTGACAGAGTGCAAACATTCATCTAAAAATAGCTGCAAGCAGCAATACCGGGGCCAAGCACAAAGATGACGAAAAGACAAGCCAACATGTGTCAGACCAACTGCAGCAAGGAGCAATTGAAGACAATTAAAGATGAATTTAGGCAAAATGGCTTAAATTAAAAATACAGTAACTTATAAAATGATTCAATGGTTTATCACTTTCGAACAATAGGTGGCGCCGTTATGAAATTGATGCATTGTTATCAGAGTGAGACGACAATACAAAGTTTGGTGTCAATGTGAAGGCATTGCAGAGATAAAGCCTGAATAGTCAATTTGGCAGCATGCCTCAACTTTGATGCTGTGGTATACAAAAACGGTTTTGTCTATAATCACGCAATCCATAACTTTTAGTAGACACGGTCTGGAGATGATTTGATTCGATTTTGGTGAAAATTGGACCAACGGTCTAGGAGAAGTTTGAAAAAGGTTTTTCAAAGAAATAAAGATGGCGGACTGGAAGTTTGACTGATTATGGCAAACCTGGTATATATGTTTTCGGCATAACCCAAGGAATCTATTAAGATCAGTTTCATTGCAATAGGCAAATGTATTCAAAAGTTATTTGCATTTTTGCAAATTAATTATAACTTTTGACCAACAGGTGGCGCTGACTCAAAATCTTTTGAGTACCTTCAAGGCATGCTGCTTATGATGCACACCGAGTTTCGTAATGTTAGACCAAAGCATTTGTTTAGAATAGCATTTTATTTCACAAAACTGTATTGAAATCATTATTATAGTGCCACCAAGAGGCTCAGTCCCACAATTTTTTTTATGTGTCCTCAGAATGAGCATATATATGTGTGAATTTTGGTGAAAATATCTCAATTTGCTTCAGAGTTATAGACATTTATATGAAAAAACACATAAAAAAATGACCGACACATGACTTGGTTTGAATTTTACTACCCCTTACTATCAATATTTTTGCATTTGGACATTTGCATTTAACTATCGACCTATGTTTTCAATTTTCTGACTGTGGTTTAGTCTTGATCGGAACAGCGGTTTTGAAGATATCGCCAACTGTTTTTTTTTTTTTTTCGCATTAAATCGCTACGCTACACCAACCGTAAGACAAAACCCAGCATGTTTGGTATCGTTGGACTCGGCAACGATTAAGGAACTCAAAAAGATGACTCGCGTGAAAATAAGTGTACCGCACCCAAAGTTATAAGCGTTTGAAAAAAAATTGTTTTGAAACTTCTCGGGCTCCTTCAGGGCATCGAACTGATGACCCATACTGAGATTCGTAACAATTCGTTCATGCGTTCAAAAAATACAGCATTTTAGCACATAATTCAAAATGGCCGACAGCCAAAATGGCCAATCTGGGAAAGATATCAGTCGACTCGGCATGACGCCCTGAATCTAACAAGACCAAGTTTATGATTTTTGGAAAAAACACTCAGAAGTTAGGCGAATTGTTAAGCGAATCATCTTGAATTCCATAACTTTTTGTCAGCACTGCCTGGAGATGATCCGGTGCAATTTTGGTGAAAATCGGAAAAAACGTCTAGGACGAGTTCGCTAAAGTACGTTTTTTTTGGACAATTCAAAATGGCGGCATGAGGTCAGGAACAAGAGGAAAAAAGAATTTTGTTGAAAGGCATTATGGTTAAAGTTATTAGCATAATAAAAGTGAAACTTTGGACAGTTGGTGGCGCTAGACTCTCAAACTCGGTCCTGGAGGGCCACTGTCCTGCAGAGTTTAGCTCCAACCGGGTTGGAGCTAAACTCTGCAGGACAGTGGCCCTCCAGAGGGAATGAGATAGAGACACCAAAATTGGTGTATTTAACTGACTGTCCTCTATCAGAATGTCAAACCAAAACAACTTTCCCGCAAACCGGTCTATGGGCTGCCATAGATGCCCAGTCGTAAACGGAAGAATAAAAGAACCAGAACGATTACAATAGGTGCCCGCACCTTCGGTGCTTGGCCCCTAATAATTCTGTATTTTCAGCTATAGAATCATGTAAAACCAAATTTAGCATTTTAATCAGCAGTACTTGAATCGTGTCATGACAGTATCGTATCGTCGTATTGACAATAGATTTAAAAAAAATTTAGTCTGATTATTTGTTATTGCACTCATTTAAAATCAAGACAATATTAAGTCAATTAAGTCAACTGTTTACAGTAATTCACTGTTGGATCCTGCAGGCAAATCAGATCTTTTTAGACTTCTCACTGTTAATGAAAAGTGATCAAAAAGGATTTGTGTTTCCAGACGTAATCGATGTATCTGCATGGGTTGCTTTGGTATTATTGATAACGACATAAACTACCAACATTTCTGACAAGTCTTTCTTAACGGGTGCAAGAACAATTGAGGTGCTTCATATCTCACTCTAAAAATATGCACCGTCGAGTCAAGGTGCAGAACTTAAGACTGCATCTTATGAAGGCTGCCTATCTTATGAAACGACGATGAAGGCATCTCAATTTCCGTGCTGTAGTCACGTGCCGTGTTTCTATCACTCAGTTCTGACGTTATCGTTGTCGCGTTAATATTGACGCAAAATAACGTTTGAAACCCGATTCGAGCAGCCAGTGAGCCCAAACCGAAAAAAAAGAAATATAATATGCATCACATTTCAAACCACCTCCAAATGTGATAAACTTTTATCTGTGTTAACCCTCATAAACTTTTCAACATACTGTATTTCACTAATATAAGCTAATATTTTTTTTCTCAACATGTATAACATGCCATCATACAACAACTGCAGATTACTTGAATTTATGGTTTATCCTATTACCCACACTTGCCGTCTTTGCACTTCATTACTTGTCTACTTGCTTCATGTATTTGGCCCAAGTGGGTGTGAAAACCACAAGTGATTCCCTGATGTAACACATCATAGTGAAAAAAAATGTCAATTGCGTGTTTTTTGTGTATTTTTTACAAAGCTGTATTTAAATTTCATATTTTGATTTTGGTGGTTTGGTGGAAGATCATTTGTAACAAGATTATAAATTGTGGTGCTTCTAATTTAAGTGGTGAAAAACAGTCAAAAACATTTTACAAAATACACATCTCTGCAACATTTTAATGTCAAAGCATATGCAGTATCTAATTTATTTAACTTACACTGGAAAGTTTTCTTGACATCACAATTTTGGGTGAGTTCATGACGATGATAAATGATGGGATACACTTAGCCTCAAATACAGCTGCGATGTAATATTAAAGATAATGTGAATTTAGTGTGTGTTAAGGCCACTGAGTTTTGCCATTTTTCAGAATGGACATGTTCTGAACATGTTCTGTTGTATGCACACACTGTCAATTATCCAAGATTACAAGTGTAGCTATTGGAGCAAACCAATGCAATCGTTTCTACAAATTTATGTTTATTGCCTTATCTAAGGTGATTGCTTTGCTATAGTACATAGAAAAAAAAATGGCTGGGCAAGCACTGACTATTTGTCTAGACCAATGGTTCTCAAACCTGTCTTCCACTAGTGCACATTTTAGATTTCGCTTTCATCTAACATGCCTGATTTAACTTATCAGCTCATTAGTAGAGACTTCAAAACCCCAAATTGGTGTATCCATAAAGGGAGACAGCCAAAATGTGCAGTGAAGGGGGGTCCCCAGGACAGGTTTGAGTAGTATTGGTCTAAACTGGAGGTTCATGTATCTGTGAAGGAGGATTGTGGTGACATTGATGAACTCAGGAGTTAGTCACAGTTGTATAAGGAGTTGTATCATTCGCCTTTAGATTAAAGATGATTTAGATAACATCCATCTGTCCCAGTTGAGGTGTCTGATTCTCCTGCTGCTGCTTCTGGACTTGTGTAGGAGCATAGAAGAGTTCCAGAGGCTTACAGACCTTCCAGAACTTCTCATTAACCAGCTCCAAAGTCAAAGAGCCATTTAGTGTCTGAAAGACAGAAACGATTAAGATAAGACAAGTCAAACTCCGCCATCAGTACTCTATTAAAGAGAAATCAGTGCAACTCACAGAGAACTGTCCTCGTGCTGTGCTGATGTAGATAGTAAACTGTTTTTCACTGACATCCTGCACACAACTATTACTACTGTTGCCAGCTCCTGGCCCTCCCTCCATATTTCTGTTCCCCTGCGTGGCACTCTGACTTTCCTCCAGAGCAATGCGGAGAGCCAGGTATTTGGAGAGGTGGTCTACAGTGGCATTGGCTGTGGTTTTGACATATCTGACAACAGAAAGGAGAATGTAGCACCTAAGATGTCAATTTACATAATTACATTTCCATCCATAAAGATTTAGGAGTAACTACTCAAAAAAATGAAAAGAAAACAATGTTCAATATGTGTTAATACACAGCACTGTTTGGTTATGATTGGTTATGACATTCTGAGGTCAGTTATTCCCTAATAATTACCATCGTCAATAGCAACACTACATAATGACATTCATCTGGCTATTTGAGGCCTTTACTCTCATATCACAATTCGAAGTCAGCTGCTGCCATCTTCGCCTCAGTTATAAGCCATTTACTGTAAAATGAAACCAGAGGGCCTCAGCATTAATGGCAAGTGTAAGCCTATGGTAATATTGTTGAAGTGTTCAATCTTGTTGCTAGAAAGATAGTTTTGTACACTGTGATGGATTATAAGATAATAAACAGGTAAGATTTTAAAGTTCATATAGGTAGATAGATGATAGATAGACACACACACACACACACACAGACAGATAGATAGATAGATAGATATTTCTTTAAATTCCCACTTGACATTAGTGCTGGCTTCTGTATACAGGCCACTATACAGACTGATTTTCTATCAGAGTTAGTACTGGCTGCAGATAAAGTCTTAATTGTAGATGATTTTAATATTCATGTACACAATGAAAAAGACATTGGGATTGGCATAGAGACATTCTAAACTCAATTGGAGTTATGCTGGGGACACACGTAACGACTAGCTTAAACATTCTAAGACTGAACAACACATTTAAAGACTGTTTCCATCGACTGGAACAGATTCATTGACTGTTCAGTGACAGTCAGAGATGAGCACAAAGCTAACAACTGAGTCAGTCCACTACACAACACAACACACTTAACGATTAGTGAGTCACAACAGGACATTCTGCCAAAATCAACAATGCAAGATCTTATACCGAAACCATGAATGTTAATAGACAGCCGTCGTTACTTATGCAGAAAAAAATTGTGCAGAAAAAAAAACACTGCGGACAACACTGGTTTTATTCAGTCTGTTTTTTTCTCTTTCAAGTTTTCTTTTTGCCATCATCACCCAAGTAGACACAATTCATTAAGCATTTCCTGATTAAACTTCTAGTGCCATTTTTTTAACCTATAATCAAACAATAATTGACTGTTATTCTTAAGTCAGGAATTAAAAAACGAATTGGTTTGTTCTGAGAAAAAAACGCTGGTCTATTTTTCCGTTCCGTTTCCAGAGTTACTAGTTAGAACAAAATTGAATACTTTTGTTGTTTTTTCAAAATGTTATTTGTATATTTTAATTTTCCTTTTATCAGTCTAAAGTAAATGTACAACACTCCAATAACTATTTAACGGAACTACCAACACTGGGAACTTTGAAAGCATGACTTTATTTGACAGAAGAGCTGCAGAGATATTTAAGGAACTGCATTTCCTTATCATATTTCCACAAATATATTACACATTATTAAAGTGTATGTGTATGTAACTATTTTAATTACAAATGTCAAGTTTGATTTTTTTTTCTTCATTAGACTATTTAAATTAACATTCACAAACCAGTGCAGTTATATAGCCTACATAAGGTACCAATTTATGTTTTTCACTTTTAGTTTAATTTTTTTTTTCCATCTAAAGAACAAATTGAATAGCCTAAAACAATAACTTGCAATGTTAATATATGAAATAATACAAAAGAAACAAACAAAAAAAAAAAGATTACAAGAAAAATGTTTGCCAGGGACAGCATCTTTTTAGCATATTCTCCAATACCAGTTGCAAATACTACACGTTTATTAAAATCTTTGTGAGGACGACTAGCAACTGCTAGCCCTTAAATTCTAAGACTAGAATCTTTATACACTGCACACTACTTAAACACTAAGTGCAAAAGAAATAAACTCAGTCCATTTGAGCTTGATCAGTCACAACAACCAATTTACATTCATAATCGGTCTGACAGTCATTAAGTGTGTCCCCAAGCTTTAGGCAACACGTGTCAGGACCCACTCATTGTAGTAATAATACTGTACTTCAAATCTAATGTTGTCACATGGAATCAATGTTGATGGTGTTGAAATTCTGCAGCAGAGCGATGACATCTCAGTTCATTATCTAGTATACTCCATTCAGTAAAGGCTGAAAAAACAACTCCCTGTTACACATATAGTAAAAACTATCACTTCTGCCACTAAAGATTGCTTTATAAATAATATTCCTGTTCAGTTTAATCTCCTCCGCATACCAAATAGCTTAGAAGAACTCAATGTTCCAACAGAAACTATTGACTCTTTTCCAGCACTTTAGATAGTTGTTAGCCATGGTACAATGAGCACACTCAGGGCCTAGAGGTTTTCTGCATTTTGTGGAAAGACAGCATTATTGCATACAGAAACTTCTAGATCTGCTTATTTTTAAACCCTCTTAGAAGAACGCAAACAAAACCCTAGGTATTTATTTGATACAGTGACTAAATTAACGAGAAATAAAGCTTCAACCCCAGGCATTTCCAAACAGCACTGCAGTGATGACTTTATGAACTTCTTTGCTAGCAAGATTGATAATATTAGAGAGATAATTATAACCATGCAACTGTCTACTACAGTATCACAGCAGACAGTGCATTGTAGTGTCCCGGAAGAAAACCATTTATCCATTGCTATAGGTGAGGAAGAATTGTCTACACTTGTTAAATCATCAGCATGTATGTTAGACCCTATATCGACTAAGCTACTGAAAGAGATGATTCCAGAGGTTATAGGTCCTCTTCTTAAAATCATTAATTCCTATTTGTCATTACGACATGTATTCAAACTTTTAAGCTGACTATTAATAAACCGCTTATTTAAAAAATGCAAATTTATCCTACAGAATTAGTCACAGGCCGTTTTCGAATCTTCCTTTTTTTAAGTTAAAAATACTAGAAAAATCCTCACAACTGTTCCTTCCCTTTAGGAAGAAATGGTAGCTGCGAGGATTTCCATTCAGGATTTAGATCGTATCATTAGCCTGGATGCCAGCCCGAACTCCGCCCACAACATTTTTTGGACGGGAAGTTCGGTCTGGACTCGATCCATTGAGGAGTAATTATGATCGGTTCAGAAATCATCGGGCCAATCAAATTGCCAGGGCGGGCTTTATACGATGATGGACAGGTGATCTGAAGGGACGTAATCATCACGTTATCAAAGAGCGCTAACTGTTTTCCCTTAGAGATGACTGCAGCTGGAGAATTGAGATGTACAGATGTACGCTGTCGCGTCTGTTGTGAAATATATCGACAGCGCATTAATTTTAATAGACAAACAGAAAACTGCAATCAAGGCATTTGTCGATCGGAAAGATATTTTTCCCGTCCCACATGGTTCGGGAAAAGTGTAACTTATCAGCTGGCTCTGACGGTCGCTAAGAAGATGGGACGTAATGAAAAGCCTGTGGTCGTTGTGGTTTCTCCTTTGGTCGCATTCATGAAGGAGTAAGTAAAAGAAGCAACACTCGTTATTTAAAGGTTCTCTGAGCGATACTGGGTGTTGATGTTCGGAATATTTTCAAACAAATCGGAGGCTAGCTAGACCCTCCCTCCTCCGCATCTCATCTACTCCCCCTCCCTTCCGTGCTTACTGAAATAATTGTGAACGTAGTTCTAGCTAATTATATCCTTGTGTGGGTTTGCCGAACATAAGCGTCAATTTAGAAGAAAAAAAAAACAATTTAACGTTACCCACCTGTCCAGCAAAAACAGAGCAACCTGAATGTCGGACTGGAAGCCCTTCTGCTGCCGGAGTTCTCGCCATCGTTCAAAAGCTTTGCTACCGATGTAAATTCGGAACTTCGCACGTTCTTTATCCGACTCCTTCCTCTTTTTAATTTGTTCTTCAGAACGACGTCTCTTTGGTCGTGTGTCGGCCATTTTTCAAACTTCCCTCTTGCATCTCTCTCCTTCACACACACGCCCCCTTCATGTGCACGCGCACTAACCCCCCAGACCCACCCTCAAATACTTCTTGCCAGTGATTGGCTGGAACACTGTTTGTTAGGTTTCGTGGTCCGGGTGAGACATGATTGTTTTTGTTGCCGTTTATGGAGCCTGTGGTGTCTATAGAGACCGCGTTTTTTTACAGTGTGTTTAGGGGACAGGCAGCTAGCCGATAGTGAGGAGACGTTTGATGTATGTGACAAAAAATGTGTTGGCCCCACATCGCTTAGAGAGCCTTTAAAGGATTAGTTCACTTTTAAAAAAACTTTTGCTGATAATTTACTCACCCCCATGTCATCCAAGATGTCCATGTCTTTCTTTCCTCAGTCGAAAAGAAATTTAGGTTTTTGATGAAAACATTCCAGGATTTCTCTCCATATAATGGACTTCAATGGGAACCGGATGGTTCAAGGTCCAAAAGACAGTTAATAACTGTTTCAGATGCAGCTTCAAAAGTCTTTAAACGATATCAGGCGATGAATAAGGGTCTTATCATGCGAAACGATCGGTTATTTCAAAGCTTATTCCAAAAATGTAACTTTTCTAAGGACAAATGCTAGCTTTTCTCCATTCTGTGAGGCGCGTTTGTAACGTCACGTAATACGTAATTACGTTCAAAAGGTCACGGGCGACGTAGCCGGAAGTACAGAATCAAAATCGTCCGACATCGCTGTTTTACCTTTTAATTCCTTTTTTGTAAACGGTAAGACTCTGTACTTCTGGCTACGTCGCCCGTGACCTTTTGAACGTAATTACGTACTACGTGACGTTGCAAACGCGCCTCACAGAATGGAGAAAGGCTAGCATTTGTCCTTAGAAAAGTTACATTTTTGGAATAAGCATTGAAATAACCGATCGTTTCGCATGATAAGACCCTTATTCATCGTCTGGTGTCGTTTAAAGACATTTGAAGCTGCATCTGAAACTGTTATTAACACTATCTTTTGGACCTGAACCATCCGGTTCCCATTGAAGTCCATTATATGGAGAAAAATCCTGGAATGTTTTCATCAAAAACCTAAAT